ATCCCCGGTCGAGCCTCGACTGGGGACCTGCTTCCAGCCGCCCTCGCTTGGAGAGTATAGTCGCACTACCGATGGTGTACACAGTTACGGCAGATGACACAGTCATCCGTTGATCCCCCTGTGCACCCTATCGGCTGACGGCCCTAGGAAATATACATTAAGTATATTATAATTAAAAATTCCAGTATCTGTAGAATATACATATGACAGTTTTACCGTTCCATATATCCAAAATCTAGAGCTCGCAAATAACTGTCGACCGGTTTTCTTTTTGCGCTCTCGTTGCGAGCACAACCTAAAATGTTCATACTCTCTCCCCTCGCTCTGAGCAAGAGAATCTTCCTGACTTAATTTGCGTTTTCTGTTGAGCGCTTTTCGTTGTGCTTTCGCACAAACTCAACGAAAACTTTCTTTTCATATATATACATATTTCGTCTGCAAACCAGACGCTTAACGATTTGTTTTCAAATGTGTTTGAATGTATACCAATACATATGCTTCACTGAACACGACAAAAAGTTTGGTTAAGATTGGTCGGTCGATCGTTTTCAAGATGTTCACCTTAATGTACTGCATTCGCATACGACAAAAGTAACAAAAATAGAAGTCACATTTGCAAAATGACAGTTCAAGCTCTGATTTCAGCGAAGCGTGATGAAAAATAAATGCGATTAGTTTTAATGAATTATGCAATGAATTATCTTAATAATGAATTTTGTTTGACTTTAAAATACAAAAAATTTTATTAATATTGATGAATCTGACCATTTTTGTAGGTAACCATGTTAAAAATACTCGTTTTAAAGATATTTTAATTTTTTGCCCGCGGTGAACCTTTCTGTAGAAATATCCATATTTTAAACCCCAGAAAATGGATTGGCTGTTTAAAGAATTATACTTGTCGACGATAGAATATTGTAATCGATAGGCGCAATTAGTATATTAAGTGTCGACGAGAACATACTGATGGATTTTGAGCCCAAGTGTGTACGGGCATACTTTTATCGATAAGTTAACCGCCAAAATTGGGCGTTCTTATTGTCGTTCGAAAAGTAGGAGGACACACTGCGGTAAGCACGTGTGAGAGTTTAATGAAATGTAAAATTAAGGTTAAGTTCAAGGTTCACATCTGCTTGTCGGCCTCGGGGCAGGGGTGTTGCCTTTGTTTGGCGGGAACTAGAAATGTCGAGCCGTTAAAGGCAAATCCAAGGGACGCCCGACAATTCCTTTTATTCGCATTCCGAGGGAGACTGCAGGAGCAGCTTGGGAGCGCGGGCGGCGCCCCACGTGTGGATTGAGTCGCAGTCTGCGACATAGAGACGCAGACAGCGTCAGTTGAGGAGTCGCAGGCAGCGACGTAATTGAGACGCAGACAGCGTCAGTCGTGGAGTCGCAGGCAGCGATGTAGAGGAGAGCAGTCAGCGCCGACCACAGTTGAGTCGCAGTCAGCGACATGGAGACGCAGACAGCGTCAGTCGTGGAGTCGCAGGCAGCGACGTAGAGGAGCGCAATCAGCGCCGACCACAGTTGAGTCGCAGTCAGCGACATGGAGGCGCAGACAGGATCAGTCGTGGAGTCGCAGGCAGCGACGTAGAGGAGCGCAGTCAGAGCCGAATAAGTTGAGTCGCAGTCAGCGACAAGGAGACGCAGACAGCGTCAGTTAAAGATCCGCAGGCAGCGACGTAATGGAGACGCAGACAGCGTCAGTCGTGTCAATGCCAGAGAGGATCCCACGTTGGATCTCCTGGCGAGGATTGCAGCATTGGAAAAGAAGCTGCAGCAGGTTAGGACCCTGGGAAGCGTGCGTACCGCCAATTGCGCGCCAATGCAGTTGTCTCGCGTCAGGGCAGCCGCCATTTTGGAGCGGTCCGCCATCAGCGACATCAAACGAGGAGACCTCATGTAACGGGGTCGGGTCGGTGCCCTGGGTACAGCGCGTCCTGCACGCTGCCGCCACCTTACAGTGGGGCGCCGTTCACAACAAGCACTGCGCAGACAGCGCATGGATTCACATTACCGCCACTTGTCGGATCCCCCACTATAATGACGTCAAATGGAATCCAGGAAAGCTCCCTGATCTGCCTATATTTAGAGGGCTGCCCGAGGAGTGGCCGATCTTCAGCTGTGTGTTCACGGAGACAACACGAGCGTATAACTGCACGGATTTGGAGAACAATCAGAGGTTGTTGAAGGCGCTGAAGGATGATGCTCGCGACGCAGTGAAGTTGCTATTGATTCATCCAGGGAACGTCTGCGCCGCCATGGAGCAGCTGCGCTTTAGTTTTGGCCCACCGGAGCAGCTAATAATCAGTCAGCTGAACAACGCGGTGAACTCGGAGCAGCATATCGACGCCAAGAAATGCGATCGACAGGATGATCGGCTCGGATGCTGTCGAATCTGTGGAGGACAACACGCAGTTACGAACTGCAAGGAATTTATTGGAACTTCGGCACCGGGCACCGGGTGGAGCATTGTGAGGAGGCACAGGCTCTGCTTCTCATGCTTACGAAGTGGGCACATGACTAGATCCTGCAATGTGCATAGTGAGTGCCAGATTAATGACTGTCGCAAGTTTCGCCACCGTCTGCTGCATGGCGCTGAAGATGAGCAAAGGCCGCAGCAACGAGGTGGGTACAATCGCCACAACGGAGGGAACCAGCAGTCAGCGGTTTCCAGACACAGCCCGGACAGGAGGTCTTTGCCACGAGACGGTTACAGGGACCACGAGGCGAACCAGCAGCTCGCCATAAATAGCCTGGAGAGAAGGCACCGCAGGAAGCGGATGCGCCCGTGCACAGGAATTTAAGCTGCGTTGAGGCCGAGCGAGGCCGCCTTCTGTTCCGTATACTGCCAATAGCGGTGTACGAAGCCGGTCGGACGATAAATACGTACGCGCTCTTTGATGAAGGATCCTCCGTTACGATGATTGACGACGAACTACGGAGGAATATGGGAGTGCAAGGGGAGCGCCGACAGCTAAATATCCAATGGTTCAGAGGAAGGGCATCCAAAGAGACCACGTAGTAAGTCTGAAAATAAGTGGAGTTGGGAAGTCCATTCGCCATGTAATGAGAAACGTGTATGCCATTTCGAGCTTGAGCCCACCGATGCAGACGTTAAGTCGGCAGGATGTACAGGGTGTGCATAAGAATGCGCGCCTGCCGATGGAACCTTACACCAAGATGGTGCCGAAGTTGCTCATCGACCTGGATCATGGTCGTCTGGGATTGCCAGAGAGAGACCGTATGCGGCCGCAACCGAGTTAGGCTGGGTTGTGTTCGGGCCCGTAAAGGGGCCTATCTCGGACAATGATGCGATCCGTCTTTAAACTTGCAGTTTTGAATTGAGAGAAGCGGTTTTTCACGGGGTCGGGGATGTCGACGATCGAATATTGTAATCGATAGGCGCAATTAGTATATTAAGTGTCGACGAGAAAATACTGTTGTTTTTTGAGCCCAAGTGTGTACGGGCATATATTTATCGATAAGTTAACCGCCAAAATTGGGCGTTCTTATTGTCGTTCGAAAAGTTAGAGTAGGAATTTAATGAAATTAAAATTAAGGTTAAGTTCACCTTTACGCAGAATAAAACATACGTAGTGCTTCGCATCTGCTTGTCGGCCTCGGGCCAGGGGTGTTTCCTTTGTTTGGCGGGAACTAGAGATGTGGAGTCGTTAAAAGCAAATACAAGGGACGCACGACAACACTTATTAATTATTTATACACTTTTTGTCACATTAAACTTGCCAACGATTACCCAATATCCGGAGTAAGGCGAGCGCTACGGCTGTTAACTTAACAGTGGCTCTGTTAAAGCAGCTTGAATCATTGATTTCAGATGACATGAACATTTTTTAACATGCCGTGCAGAAAGTGGATAAAGAAACATAATAGTTTAGTTAGTGGCAAAACTCCACAAAAATAGAAATGGAGCAAAAAAAAGAGCTTTCTGTTTTTTTCCTTTCTCGGGTACTCGGATAAGCTGAATGTTGAAACCGGAAACTTATTGTGAACGATCAAAATCAAATAAAAAAAGCAAACAGCAGGGATTTTTAAAGCGAACTAAATTGAATTTATATATTTCGAAAGCCAAGATGGAGGGAAATTAAAAAATAGAAACACTGTTCGCTTTAGAGATTTAACTCACAAGAAACATTTTAATTGCTCAAACAATTTGTTATTGAGTGGCGACGGCACTGTCGCGAACAGTTTTTTGGCCTTCAGCTTCATATCTTCAAGTGTCACAACATCTGATCCGTTCGAATTTATATTAAAATACCGTTTCTGAGAGCTGAGAAAGAGGCAAATAGCTGTTCGTGAGCGATGTCTTAAAGGTCTGTACGTTGACGAGAAATCCAAATACTATAAAGTTGCACGGCGTTAGGGGCTTCCTGAAGGCTGAGTTAATGCAATGAAGAAAAAAAATCTATCAAACAAAGTACTCGAGGATTTGCCTCTCAGTTTTACTTGCAGCTCTTTAACATACTTCAAGTTCTTGATCCGGCCATGAACAATAATGTTCGGAAAAGAAATCTCGCAGATATTAAAGCACACAGCTCAGGTTGTTCCACTTTCGACATTTGCAAGGTCGCTGTGGTTGCCATTGGATTTCGGTTGCTTTATCATGGGCTGATTCGATGGGTAATATGGCCACTGAACCGAACACCGATCCATTCTTGCATACAAAAGCACATGTCCAATCATCCAATCTCCGTTAAACCAATCATCAAATGTTGAACGTGTCTTAAGTTTCAAAAGAACCGCTTGTTTACAGAGTATGACCGCATTTTTTGCCCTCCAAAAATGGCAAAGAACTATTAAAAAGAGCGGTCATACTGCAAAAGAATTAATATTTTTCCGCTTCAAAACAGTTCAACCCTCGCCGTACCGTACTTTAAGTTAAGTTAGGACCATCAAAACGCATTCGAAGCCTTAAATATTTTATGGGATACTTTTGGATATTTTTGTTATCGATCGCTTCGACTTCCCCTTACTTTTAGGATTCCTTGGGAGGAAATACAAAAACCCTTATGATATCCTGCATCTCTCCATCAAACATTAATTATGATGAAACAATAACGACCCTGCGCTACGCAAGTAGAGCTAAGAAAATTGCAAATAAGCCGACAATTAACGAAGATCCCAAAGATGCCAAATTACGACAGTATCATGATGAAATACTTTATTTAAAAAGAATGCTGAAAGAAACACAACAAACGATTGATTTCAAAAGTGACGAGAAGTTAAGAGAAGTTTCAATTAATGATAAGAAATACCAAGAAATCCCAGATATCACCAATGCTGAAGCGATGAACTCAAGGTCAATCTTACCTGTTCATTCAAAAGAAGAGAACATTCAATTGCAAGCACGAAACCGTATTGATCTTATTAAACAAACCTTAATTGGAGGTGAGCGTGTTGGTGATTTAAAACTTAAGGAACAGCATAAAGCCCGTCGAATTGCTGCTCAACGTCACTTAAATGCCGTAGCAAATGCTCTGAGCCGTATTAATTATGAAGATCGAGACCTTTTACAAGGTCATTATGCTAGTATAGCCCAAGAGATAAATATTAAAAACGAACACATACGAAATTGCCAACAAAAAATTAAAATGCTTCAAATGGAACTTTCGGATTTGAATTCAGAGTTTCAGCTTGATCGTGAAGATTATTTGGATGAAATAAGAAATCTTGGACGTTACATCAAGTTTTATCAACAATTACTTAATAAATTTGATTCAAATTTACGTAAAAATTATAAAAATTGGTAAGAAATCGTTGCCACTAATAATAATAAGTACTTACCCAAACGTTTTATAATAGGTCTCCGGATATTGTAATGGAGCATTCAACATGGATTGATGATCTGAAAATTTGGAAAATTCCAGACAACTATTTGTTGAAACTTCCACCGGCTAATCTTAATTCTGATAATCAACAAATATATAGCTCGACAGAAACTAAGAACATTTCCAAAATATTTAGGAATGATGAAAAGCAACCTTTTGAACATGTAAGTATGTTTTTATTTCCTTAATTATTATAGAACATATATATTTTTTATAATAAATAATCATAAATATTTTCTTAAAGGACAACTTTAACACATCAAAAGAGAAGTTTAACGGGAATGTTCTCAAAAACTACTTTCGCACATCTCGTCCAAACAATAAAAAGGAGCAATTCGGAAAAATAACCGGCTTAAAAGAATAAAGTGAATAACAGGAAACATTTATAATAAAACTTATTTAAAAAAAATCATATGGATGGCGTTTCAGCCCATCAATGTGAAGCGTAATCGGTCCTGCGTATCTAAGAGGGATGGTCAGGGCGTTTGTCAAGCAAACGAAAAAGTTTAGTGAGGTGGCCAGAGTCTGGCTATTGCGCTGGTAATTAGGTGAGACAACGGATTTTCGAGGAACTTCCTGGAAGACCCAGAGCTCGCATATGGTTCACAAAAGGGAAATCCGACCATGCAAGGGCACTCCAACAGAATCCAGATGTGCATACAGAGAACTGGGCCATCCTCCAAGTAGAGAAGGAGATGAAGACGAGCCATTCATTCCTCCTGGTTATATATCATCGTTTCTTATAGACGTGAAAATATAAAATTCGGTACATCAGAAATGGCAAGTTTAAGTTTTTCCGAACCGAATGAGATTCTGGAGGAGGTGGACGACACGAATAATTTGCTGGATGGTCAGCCCGAGTGCACTCTGACTAACCACGATGCCGAAAATAGTCAAAATTTTTTTGGCTAATTTGTCAATTTGATTAGGACTAGAGACGAGCACGTATAAGGTCTGTCACTGCCTCTACTAGCCACAAACTCGAAAGGTATAGTATACAAAATGAATATGCAAATTAATACAAAATTATTAAATTTCTAAATTTTTGTCAGCGGGTGGGAATGGAGTTTACATCAGCATACATGTCTGAATCTGGCTCCCCAATAACGGGAGGTAAAGCTGCTCCAACGGGCCAAAGATACAAAAACGAATCAGGTGATCAGGTGCGACGCATAAGAACTAGGGAAGCTCCAAAACAACTGATAGATGTGAAACACTTTTTGATCATATTACATATACGGCAAAACGTTATAATATGTAACAAAGGGAATATACTATAATTTGTATTTTCGAGCACGGAGGTCTTATTGCCTTACAAGACATACGATTTATACTGGCTCTTCTTAAGATGTTAAGGACTTTGCTTTCTACGTTATTGGAAGTCAATCAAAGTAGATCGAGTTTTTAAATCGAGTTCTATTGACTGGCAGCGGGGGCGAAGCGGGTGGCTTCGTATTCAAAAAGAAATCCAAAGATTTGCGGAACATCCTTGTCTTACGTTCCTAGTAGTCCAATGAGCCCTTTGCCCAAACTCAGTTTGCCTCGCTGATAATATTGGACGTTTACGCTATCTACGTTAGAGATTATTCTGAACAAACCATTATAATTTGCTCATGAGACTCTTAAAGGCTAATAGATTTTAAAGGAGGCTATAGAGTGGCACAAAACTAAGGGTATATAGGATAGAGTATTTCAAGTCAGCACTTTCAACGTCGTTTCATCTTAAAAGATAAAGGTTAATAAGCCGTTTAAGCTTAATAAGTTTACGCAGCTCCAGTTTTAGAAATTATTAAGAAATATTAAGTAAAGACTCTCGCAGGATCAGAGACGAAGCAAAGATCGAGCAAGCGCTGTAAGGAATTTCGAACATGGTTGACTTGAGACAGCGAAATGTCAAACAAGCCAGCGATAAAGTCATGTTGTGTAGGTGTATTGAGAGTATTGGTAGAATTATTCGAGCACCAAATAGCACCAGGGATATTAAAATCTCCAAGAACTACCAACTGGTCTCTATCCAAAAGTCTATCCAAAAGTCAAAAGTTTCTATCCTGCACCGCAGGAAGCGGATGCGCCCGTGCACAGGAATTTAAGCTGCGTTGAGGCCGAGCGAGGCCGCCTTCTGTTCCGTATACTGCCAGTAGCGGTGTACGAAGCCGGTCGGACGATAAATACGTACGCGCTCTTTGATGAAGGATCCTCCGTTACGATGATTGACGACGAACTACGGAGGAATATGGGAGTGCAAGGGGAGCGCCGACAGCTAAATATCCAATGGTTCAGAGGAAGGGCATCCAAAGAGACCACGTAGTAAGTCTGAAAATAAGTGGAGTTGGGAAGTCCACTCGCCATGTACTGAGAAACGTGTATGCCATTTCGAGCTTGAGCCCACCGATGCAGACATTAAGTCAGCAGGATGTACAGGGTGTGCATAAGAATGCGCGCCTGCCGATGGAACCTTACACCAAGATGGTGCCGAAGTTGCTCATCGACCTGGATCATGGTCGTCTGGGATTGCCAGAGAGAGACCGTATGCGGCCGCAACCGAGCTAGGCTGGGTTGTGTTCGGGCCCGTAAAGGGGCCTATCTCGGACAATGATGCGATCCGTCTTTAAACTTGCAGTTTTGAATTGAGAGAAGCGGTTTTTCACGGGGTCGGGGATGTCGACGATCGAATATTGTAATCGATAGGCGCAATTAGTATATTAAGTGTCGACGAGAAAATACTGTTGTTTTTTGAGCCCAAGTGTGTACGGGCATATATTTATCGATAAGTTAACCGCCAAAATTGGGCGTTCTTATTGTCGTGCGAAAAGTAGGAGTAGGAATTTAATGAAATTAAAATTAAGGTTAAGTTCACCTTTACGCAGAATAAAACATACGTAGTGCTTCGCATCTGCTTGTCGGCCTCGGGCCAGGGGTGTTTCCTTTGTTTGGCGGGAACTAGAGATGTGGAGTCGTTAAAAGCAAATACAAGGGACGCACGACAACACTTATTAATTATTTATACACTTTTTGTCACATTAAACTTGCCAACGATTACCCAATATCCGAAGAAGGCGAGCGCTACGGCTGTTAACTTAACAGTGGCTCTGTTAAAGCAGCTTGAATCATTGATTTTCGATGACATGAACATTTTTTTAAGATGCCGTGCAGAAAGTGGATAAAGAAACATAATAGTTTAGTTAGTGGCAAAACTCCACAAAAATAGAAATGGAGCAAAAAAAAAGAGCTTTCTGTTTTTTTCCTTTCTCGGGTACTCGGATAAGCTGAATGTTGAAACCGGAAACTTATTGTGAACGATCAAAATCAAATAAAAAAAGCAAACAGCAGGGATTTTTAAAGCGAACTAAATTGAATTTATATAAATTAAAAAATAGAAACACTGTTCGCTTTAGAGATTTAACTCACAAGAAACATTTTAATTGCTCAAACAATTTGTTATTGAGTGGCGACGGCACTGTCGCGAACAGTTTTTTGGCCTTCAGCTTCATATCTTCAAGTGTCACAACATCTGATCCGTTCGAATTTATATTAAAATACCGTTTCGAAGCTCTGAGAGAGAGGCAAATAGCTGTTCGTGAGCGATGTCTTAAAGGTCTGTACGTTGACGAGAAATCCAAATACTATAAAGTTGCACGGCGTTAGGGGCTTCCTGAAGGCTGAGTTAATGCAATGAAGAAAAAAAATCTATCAAACAAAGTACTCGAGGATTTACCTCTCAGTTTTACTTGCAGCTCTTTAACATACTTCAAGTTCTTGATCCGGCCATGAACAATAATGTTCGGAAAAGAAATCTCGCAGATATTAAAGCACACAGCTCAGGTTGTTCAACTTTCGACATTTGCAAGGTCGCTGTGGTTGCCATTGGATTTCGGTTGCTTTATCATGGGCTGATTCGATGGGTAATATGGCCACTGAACCGAACACCGATACATTCTTGCATACAAAAGCACATGTCCAATCATCCGATCTCCGTTAAACCAATCATCAAATGTTGAACGTGTCTTAAGTTTCAAAAGAACCGCTTGTTTACAGAGTATGACCGCATTTTTTGCCCTCCAAAAATGGCAAAGAACTAGTAAAAAGAGCGGTCATACTGCAAAAGAATTAATATTTTTCCGCTTCAAAACAGTTCAACCCTCGCCGTACCGTACTTTAAGTTAAGTTAAGACCATCAAAACGCATTCGAAGCCTTAAATATTTTATTGGATACTTTTGGATATTTTTGTTATCGATCGCTTCGACTTCCCCTTACTTTTAGGATTCCTTGGGAGGAAATACAAAAACCCTTATGATATCCTGCATCTCTCCATCAAACATTAATTATGATGAAACAATAACGACCCTGCGCTACGCAAGTAGAGCTAAGAAAATTGCAAATAAGCCGACAATTAACGAAGATCCCAAAGATGCCAAATTACGACAGTATCATGATGAAATACTTTATTTAAAAAGAATGCTGAAAGAAACACAACAAACGATTGATTTCAAAAGTGACGAGAAGTTAAGAGAAGTTTCAATTAATGATAAGAAATACCAAGAAATCCCAGATATCACCAATGCTGAAGCGATGAACTCAAGGTCAATCTTACCTGTTCATTCAAAAGAAGAGAACATTCAATTGCAAGCACGAAACCGTATTGATCTTATTAAACAAACCTTAATTGGAGGTGAGCGTGTTGGTGATTTAAAACTTAAGGAACAGCATAAAGCCCGTCGAATTGCTGCTCAACGTCACTTAAATGTCGTAGCAAATGCTCTGAGCCGTATTAATTATGAAGATCGAGACCTTTTACAAGGTCATTATGCTAGTATAGCCCAAGAGATAAATATTAAAAACGAACACATACGAAATTGCCAACAAAAAATTAAAATGCTTCAAATGGAACTTTCGGATTTGAATTCAGAGTTTCAGCTTGATCGTGAAGATTATTTGGATGAAATAAGAAATCTTGGACGTTACATCAAGTTTTATCAACAATTACTTAATAAATTTGATTCAAATTTACGTAAAAATTATAAAAATTGGTAAGAAATCGTTGCCACTAATAATAATAAGTACTTACCCAAACGTTTTATAATAGGTCTCCGGATATTGTAATGGAGCATTCAACATGGATTGATGATCTGAAAATTTGGAAAATTCCAGACAACTATTTGTTGAAACTTCCACCGGCTAATCTTAATTCTGATAATCAACAAATATATAGCTCGACAGAAACTAAGAACATTTCCAAAATATTTAGGAATGATGAAAAGCAACCTTTTGAACATGTAAGTATGTTTTTATTTCCTTAATTATTATAGAACATATATATTTTTTATAATAAATAATCATAAATATTTTCTTAAAGGACAACTTTAACACATCAAAAGAGAAGTTTAACGGGAATGTTCTCAAAAACTACTTTCGCACATCTCGTCCAAACAATAAAAAGGAGCAATTCGGAAAAATAACCGGCTTAAAAGAATAAAGTGAATAACAGGAAACATTTATAATAAAACTTATTTTAAAAAAAATCATATGGATGGCGTTTCAGCCCATCAATGCGAAGCGTAATCGGTCCTGCGTATCTAAGAGGGAAGGTCAGGGCGTTTGTCAAGCAAACGAAAAAGTTTAGTGAGGTGGCCAGAGTCTGGCTATTGCGCTGGTAATTAGGTGAGACAACGGATTTTCGAGGAACTTCCTGGAAGACCCAGAGCTCGCATATGGTTCACAAAAGGGAAATCCGACCATGCAAGGGCACTCCAACAGAATCCAGATGTGCATACAGAGAACTGGGCCATCCTCCAAGTAGAGAAGGAGATGAAGACGAGCCATTCATTCCTCCTGGTTATATATCATCGTTTCTTATAGACGTGAAAATATAAAATTCGGTACATCAGAAATGGCAAGTTTAAGTTTTTCCGAACCGAATGAGATTCTGGAGGAGGTGGACGACACGAATAATTTGCTGGATGGTCAGCCCGAGTGCACTCTGACTAACCACGATGCCGAAAATAGTCAAAATTTTTTTGTCTAATTTGTCAATTTGATTAGGACTAGAGACGAGCACGTATAAGGTCTGTCACTGCCTCTACTAGCCACAAACTCGAAAGGTATAGTATACAAAATAAATATGCAAATTAATACAAAATTATTAAATTTCTAAATTTTTGTCAGCGGGTGGGAATGGAGTTTACATCAGCATACATGGCTGAATCTGGCTCCCCAATAACGGGAGGTAAAGCTGCTCCAACGGGCCAAAGATACAAAAACGAATCAGGTGATCAGGTGCGACGCATAAGAACTAGGGAAGCTCCAAAACAACTGATAGATGTGAAACACTTTTTGATCATATTACATATACGGCAAAACGTTATAATATGTAACAAAGGGAAACTGTAACTATAATTTGTATTTTCGAGCACGGAGGTCTTATTGCCTTACAAGACATACGATTTATACTGGCTCTTCTTAAGATGTTAAGGACTTTGCTTTGTACGTTATTGGAAGTCAATCAAAGTAGATCGAGTTTTTAAATCGAGTTCTATTGACTGGCAGCGGGGGCGAAGCGGGTGGCTTCGTATTCAAAAAGAAATCCAAAGATTTGCGGAACATCCTTGTCTTACGTTCCTAGTAGTCCAATGAGCCCTTTGCCCAAACTCAGTTTGCCTCGCTGATAATATTGGACGTTTACGCTATCTACGTTAGAGATTATTCTGAACAAACCATTATAATTTGCACATGAGACTCTTAAAGGCTAATAGATTTTAAAGGAGGCTATAGAGTGGCACAAAACTAAGGGTATATAGGATAGAGTATTTCAAGTCAGCACTTTCAACGTCGTTTCATCTTAAAAGATAAAGGTTAATAAGCCGTTTAAGCTTAATAAGTTTACGCAGCTCCAGTTTTAGAAATTATTAAGAAATATTAAGTAAAGACTCTCGCAGGATCAGAGACGAAGCAAAGATCGAGCAAGCGCTGTAAGGAATTTCGAACATGGTTGACTTGAGACAGCGAAATGTCAAACAAGCCAGCGATAAAGTCATGTTGTGTAGGTGTATTGAGAGTATTGGTAGAATTATTCGAGCACCAAATAGCACCAGGGATATTAAAATCTCCAAGAACTACCAACTGGTCTCTATCCAAAAGTCTATCCAAAAGTCAAAAGTTTCTATCCTGCACCGCAGGAAGCGGATGCGCCCGTGCACAGGAATTTAAGCTGCGTTGAGGCCGAGCGAGGCCGCCTTCTGTTCCGTATACTGCCAGTAGCGGTGTACGAAGCCGGTCGGACGATAAATACGTACGCGCTCTTTGATGAAGGATCCTCCGTTACGATGATTGACGACGAACTACGGAGGAATATGGGAGTGCAAGGGGAGCGCCGACAGCTAAATATCCAATGGTTCAGAGGAAGGGCATCCAAAGAGACCACGTAGTAAGTCTGAAAATAAGTGGAGTTGGGAAGTCCACTCGCCATGTACTGAGAAACGTGTATGCCATTTCGAGCTTGAGCCCACCGATGCAGACATTAAGTCAGCAGGATGTACAGGGTGTGCATAAGAATGCGCGCCTGCCGATGGAACCTTACACCAAGATGGTGCCGAAGTTGCTCATCGACCTGGATCATGGTCGTCTGGGATTGCCAGAGAGAGACCGTATGCGGCCGCAACCGAGCTAGGCTGGGTTGTGTTCGGGCCCGTAAAGGGCCTATCTCGGACAATGATGCGATCCGTCTTTAAACTTGCAGTTTTGAATTGAGAGAAGCGGTTTTTCACGGGGTCGGGGATGTCGACGATCGAATATTGTAATCGATAGGCGCAATTAGTATATTAAGTGTCGACGAGAAAATACTGTTGTTTTTTGAGCCCAAGTGTGTACGGGCATATATTTATCGATAAGTTAACCGCCAAAATTGGGCGTTCTTATTGTCGTGCGAAAAGTAGGAGTAGGAATTTAATGAAATTAAAATTAAGGTTAAGTTCACCTTTACGCAGAATAAAACATACGTAGTGCTTCGCATCTGCTTGTCGGCCTCGGGCCAGGGGTGTTTCCTTTGTTTGGCGGGAACTAGAGATGTGGAGTCGTTAAAAGCAAATACAAGGGACGCACGACAACACTTATTAATTATTTATACACTTTTTGTCACATTAAACTTGCCAACGATTACCCAATATCCGAAGAAGGCGAGCGCTACGGCTGTTAACTTAACAGTGGCTCTGTTAAAGCAGCTTGAATCATTGATTTTCGATGACATGAACATTTTTTTAAGATGCCGTGCAGAAAGTGGATAAAGAAACATAATAGTTTAGTTAGTGGCAAAACTCCACAAAAATAGAAATGGAGCAAAAAAAAGAGCTTTCTGTTTTTTCCTTTCTCGGGTACTCGGATAAGCTGAATGTTGAAACCGGAAACTTATTGTGAACGATCAAAATCAAATAAAAAAAGCAAACAGCAGGGATTTTTAAAGCGAACTAAATTGAATTTATATAAATTAAAAAATAGAAACACTGTTCGCTTTAGAGATTTAACTCACAAGAAACATTTTAATTGCTCAAACAATTTGTTATTGAGTGGCGACGGCACTGTCGCGAACAGTTTTTTGGCCTTCAGCTTCATATCTTCAAGTGTCACAACATCTGATCCGTTCGAATTTATATTAAAATACCGTTTCGAAGCTCTGAGAGAGAGGCAAATAGCTGTTCGTGAGCGATGTCTTAAAGGTCTGTACGTTGACGAGAAATCCAAATACTATAAAGTTGCACGGCGTTAGGGGCTTCCTGAAGGCTGAGTTAATGCAATGAAGAAAAAAAATCTATCAAACAAAGTACTCGAGGATTTGCCTCTCAGTTTTACTTGCAGCTCTTTAACATACTTCAAGTTCTTGATCCGGCCATGAACAATAATGTTCGGAAAAGAAATCTCGCAGATATTAAAGCACACATCTCAGGTTGTTCAACTTTCGACATTTGCAAGGTCGCTGTGGTTGCCATTGGATTTCGGTTGCTTTATCATGGCTGATTCGATGGGTAATATGGCCACTGAACCGAACACCGATACATTCTTGCATACAAAAGCACATGTCCAATCATCCGATCTCCGTTAAACCAATCATCAAATGTTGAACGTGTCTTAAGTTTCAAAAGAACCGCTTGTTTACAGAGTATGACCGCATTTTTTGCCCTCCAAAAATGGCAAAGAACTAGTAAAAAGAGCGGTCATACTGCAAAAGAATTAATATTTTTCCGCTTCAAAACAGTTCAACCCTCGCCGTACCGTACTTTAAGTTAAGTTAATACCATCAAAACGCATTCGAAGCCTTAAATATTTTATTGGATACTTTTGGATATTTTTGTTATCGATCGCTTCGACTTCCCCTTACTTTTAGGATTCCTTGGGAGGAAATACAAAAACCCTTATGATATCCTGCATCTCTCCATCAAACATTAATTATGATGAAACAATAACGACCCTGCGCTACGCAAGTAGAGCTAAGAAAATTGCAAATAAGCCGACAATTAACGAAGATCCCAAAGATGCCAAATTACGACAGTATCATGATGAAATACTTTATTTAAAAAGAATGCTGAAAGAAACACAACAAACGATTGATTTCAAAAGTGACGAGAAGTTAAGAGAAGTTTCAATTAATGATAAGAAATACCAAGAAATCCCAGATATCACCAATGCTGAAGCGATGAACTCAAGGTCAATCTTACCTGTTCATTCAAAAGAAGAGAACATTCAATTGCAAGCACGAAACCGTATTGATCTTATTAAACAAACCTTAATTGGAGGTGAGCGTGTTGGTGATTTAAAACTTAAGGAACAGCATAAAGCCCGTCGAATTGCTGCTCAACGTCACTTAAATGTCGTAGCAAATGCTCTGAGCCGTATTAATTATGAAGATCGAGACCTTTTACAAGGTCATTATGCTAGTATAGCCCAAGAGATAAATATTAAAAACGAACACATACGAAATTGCCAACAAAAAATTAAAATGCTTCAAATGGAACTTTCGGATTTGAATTCAGAGTTTCAGCTTGATCGTGAAGATTATTTGGATGAAATAAGAAATCTTGGACGTTACATCAAGTTTTATCAACAATTACTTAATAAATTTGATTCAAATTTACGTAAAAATTATAAAAATTGGTAAGAAATCGTTGCCACTAATAATAATAAGTACTTACCCAAACGTTTTATAATAGGTCTCCGGATATTGTAATGGAGCATTCAACATGGATTGATGATCTGAAAATTTGGAAAATTCCAGACAACTATTTGTTGAAACTTCCACCGGCTAATCTTAATTCTGATAATCAACAAATATATAGCTCGACAGAAACTAAGAACATTTCCAAAATATTTAGGAATGATGAAAAGCAACCTTTTGAACATGTAAGTATGTTTTTATTTCCTTAATTATTATAGAACATATATATTTTTTTATAATAAATAATCATAAATATTTTCTTAAAGGACAACTTTAACACATCAAAAGAGAAGTTTAACGGGAATGTTCTCAAAAACTACTTTCGCACATCTCGTCCAAACAATAAAAAGGAGCAATTCGGAAAATAACCGGCTTAAAAGAATAAAGTGAATAACAGGAAACATTTATAATAAAACTTATTTTAAAAAAAAATCATATGGATGGCGTTTCAGCCCATCAATGCGAAGCGTAATCGGTCCTGCGTATCTAAGAGGGAAGGTCAGGGCGTTTGTCAAGCAAACGAAAAAGTTTAGTGAGGTGGCCAGAGTCTGGCTATTGCGCTGGTAATTAGGTGAGACAACGGATTTTCGAGGAACTTCCTGGAAGACCCAGAGCTCGCATATGGTTCACAAAAGGGAAATCCGACCATGCAAGGGCACTCCAACAGAATCCAGATGTGCATACAGAGAACTGGGCCATCCTCCAAGTAGAGAAGGAGATGAAGACGAGCCATTCATTCCTCCTGGTTATATATCATCGTTTCTTATAGACGTGAAAATATAAAATTCGGTACATCAGAAATGGCAAGTTTAAGTTTTTCCGAACCGAATGAGATTCTGGAGGAGGTGGACGACACGAATAATTTGCTGGATGGTCAGCCCGAGTGCACTCTGACTAACCACGATGCCGAAAATAGTCAAAATTTTTTTGTCTAATTTGTCAATTTGATTAGGACTAGAGACGAGCACGTATAAGGTCTGTCACTGCCTCTACTAGCCACAAACTCGAAAGGTATAGTATACAAAATAAATATGCAAATTAATACAAAATTATTAAATTTCTAAATTTTTGTCAGCGGATGGGAATGGAGTTTACATCAGCATACATGGCTGAATCTGGCTCCCCAATAACGGGAGGTAAAGCTGCTCCAACGGGCCAAAGATACAAAAACGAATCAGGTGATCAGGTGCGACGCATAAGAACTAGGGAAGCTCCAAAACAACTGATAGATGTGAAACACTTTTTGATCATATTACATATACGGCAAAACGTTATAATATGTAACAAAGGGAATATACTATAATTTGTATTTTCGAGCACGGAGGTCTTATTGCCTTACAAGACATACGATTTATACTGGCTCTTCTTAAGATGTTAAGGACTTTGCTTTGTACGTTATTGGAAGTCAAACAAAGTAGATCGAGTTTTTAAATCGAGTTCTATTGACTGGCAGCGGGGGCGAAGCGGGTGGCTTCGTATTCAAAAAGAAATCCAAAGATTTGCGGAACATCCTTGTCTTACTTGGACGTTGATGCACTAAGGTCAGTACATACAAGTGGCCCGTATGACACCAGGCACGTGCCTGTTTGGGTTAGGTGTTAGTAGGCGCGATGGAAAATATAGGACAGAATACGAGGAAAATTGACTACCGGCGTGCTGCCAGATTGTTAGCTTGCATGCTTACTAAGTATGTTAATATCAAAGATTTTAATTTGGGAAGGGAATCTACGTTAGAGATTAGTGTGTACAAATCATTATAATTTGCACATAACACTCTAAAAGGTTCATGCAGTTCAAAGGAGGTCCTACAGTGGCGCAACACTAATGGGATATAGGATCTAGTGGTTCTACATGGTACATGGAAATTAAGCTGACCCAACAAGTCAGCACTTTCCACATCACCATGGATAAGGTTAAAAATAAAGGTTATCCCTAGCATCGTTCTACGATTGGCTAAGGACGGCAAGTTTATTAATATGAGTCTACTAGAGTAGGAAGGTAATCTTTGGTTTGCATCCCAATTTAAACCGCGTAGAGCGAAAAGTAAAAAGTTCTTTTGAACCGACTCAATGCGTTTACTATGGACGCCGTACTGAGGGCTCCAAACGCAGCATCCATATTCTAGGATAGGACGAACTAAGGAAGTATATAAGGATTTAGTAACATAGGGGTCATTGAATTCCTTCGACCACCGTTTAATAAATCCAAGCACACCCCTGGCCCTATTCACCATAGACGAAATATGATCAATAAAGTCAAGTTTTGGGTCCAAGCGGACGCCCAAATCGTCAACTGTATTAATTCTTTCCAAAGAGCAGCCGTTCAGCGTGTAAGTAGCAAGCTTAGGAGCGACACGAGAGAATGTCATTAGCTTGCATTTCGAGCCATTTAAGTTTAATAAGTTTACACGGCACCAAGTTTGAAAATGATTAAGATCTGTTTGTAAATCCGACTGGCAGGCAACGTCATTGTATTGCACGCAAAGCTTGACGTCATCCGCGTACATAAGTACTCTGGAGTTAGTCAAGACTTTGGGCAGGTCATTTATGAACAATGTAAACAATAAGGGTCCCAAATGGCTTCCTTGCGGGACACCAGATGTAACCCTTAGAATATTGGATAAATTATTCTTAAAGAGGACCTTTTGCGTCCTGCCATTCAAATAACTAGAGATCCAATTAAGAAGATCACTTGGAAAACCCATTGAATCGAGTTTTCTAACGAGGAGAGAATGATTAACAGAGTCAAATGCTTTACTGAAATCAGTATAGATTACATCTGTCTGACAATTATTATGGAAGCCCTTTATAATATAGGAAGAGAGCTCCAAAAGATTTTTTGTTGTTGATCTTCGCTTAATAAAACCATGTTGACATGGAGAAATAACCGATCTACAAAGGTGCTGTAAATGAGGGGTGATAATATTTTCAAATAATTTTGGGATGGCCGACAACTTAGAGATTCCTCTATAATTGCTGGCATCCAATTTGCTACCTTTTTTGTGGAGAGGAATAATAAACGATTCCTTCCAAATAATGGGAAAGTGGGAGGTTGCTAAGGACAAGGTAAACAATTTCAGAAGGGGATAGCACAGGGCGTCGGCACAATACCTGAGCACACAGCCAGGAATTCCGTCGGGACCTGGCGAATAAACTGGCTTGACACGATGAAGATCTAAAAGGAGAGAGCTTTCGTTTAGGCTAGGACAAAAAATTAAGTTCGATTTGGGTATGTCGTGGAATAAGTCTGGTATATATACGAAGAGCTAGAATAGGTTGTTTGAAAAAACTGCGAAAATAGATCGGCTATTGCCTGATCATTATTTGCGGTAGTATTTTCAAATGAAAGCGAGGAAGGATTTGTTTTAGGTTTACGTTTAGTGTTAACGAAATTATAAAACTGTTTTGGGTCCTGTGAGAACTGGGCCCTACAACGAGTTAGATAGTTTTTGTAACACTGCGCGTTCAGCACGGAAAAGTTTGACCGAGCTGATAAATAAAATGAAAGGGCAGATTGAGAACCGGTGATTTTAAATTTAGCATACAGTCTAGATTTTTTATTTTTAAGTCGGCTCAACTCTTTAGTAAACCACGGCGGTTTATTCGAGCTTGGCGGATAATATAACGGAACACATTCAGTAAAAAATGAATTCATGGCACTGTAAAAAATATCAATGGCAACTGCCATGTCAGTGCACATGTATAGATCGGACCAATTGAACTCGTTTATAAAATTATTCAGCCGTTCAAAGTCCGTTTTGCGAAAACATAGGACTTTATTGGCTGGACGGTCAGAAATATGCTGTACGTCACACCCAATATCAAGAGTCACATCGAAAGTTGGATGATAAGGATCTTCGGGTTGCGTCAGAGGCGCCACCCTTGCTAAACTGACTCTCGCAGGATCAGAGACGAAGCAAAGATCGAGCAAGCGCTGTAAGGAATTCGAACATGGTTGACTTGAGACAGCGAAATGTCAAACAAGCCAGCGATAAAGTCATGTTGTGTAGGTGTATTGAGAGTATTGGTGGAATTATTCGAGCACCAAATAGCACCAGGATATTAAAATCTCCAAGAACTACCAACTGGTCTCTATCCAAAAGTCTACTGGAAACCATCTGAATAACGGAAAGGTGATTCCAATAAATAGGAAGTTCCGACAGTGGAGGTATGTAGGAACAGGTAATAAAAATGGAGCTACCTTTGATAGATAGCTTCACACAGAGGAATTCAACATCGTTACATTCCTCGAAGGTTAATAATTCTGACGTGAGTGAGGAGTCCACCGCTATTAGAACTCCACCCCGCGTCTGTCAGGGCGATCTAGCCGATATACCGTGAACACAGCTGGAAAAACTTCGGAGCTCAGAATCTCCGGCTTTAACCAGGTTTCTGTGAGCACAATAACCTGAGATGCAAACGAAAGGCTATCAGAATACAAGTTAGGAAGCTTACTACGTAAGCCTCTTGCATTCTGATAGGAAATACCTAAGGAGTGGGTTAGTTTTTTGGGTCGGGATTGGAAGACGTAGAAGGCGCAGTGGTAACATCAGGCCTGGGAAGAGTTATTCCTACAGGCCGCTTTTTCTTTTTCTTCGCCTCGAACTCCTTAACAACTATGTACTCTGGCCAGAAGTTGGGAGAGCAAATAGTGTTAAAGAGCTCGTTAGGGACATTTATCTTGAAAGATGAAATGTCCCTTGCGTAAGAAAATTTAAACTTTTCCACCTTTATCTTAATTTTTTCGGCTCTGGTTTTGCCTTGTATAAAGGCGAGAACATCTTCCGATGTTTGGTCAGGGGAGAGCCGCGAGACAAAAATATGTCTCGTTGGTGGAACAGCTATAAGGGCTTTTGGCAAGGCAGATTGGTTATCCGCCGTGCCATTGTCGGCCGGTATTCCGGGCCTAACACCCTGGGCAGATATACTTGTGTGAACGGGACTTTGAGGGGTCAATATTTGCGACCCCCAGGCGATAAAACAGAAATCACCGGCGGTACGGGCACTCCCACTGCACATTCGGATACCGAATCTTTCCTAGCGCTCGATCTCAGCACTCTTGGAATTACTGCTGAGGTCGAGGGCTGTGCCGTGGGAGGCTGCTGCTGAGAGCCTGTTGCGGGTAGTTGGGGTCCATCTACATGCTGCCCACCAATAGCAGTTTTTTTGCGCCTAGGAGACTCATTTAATGGCGTAAGGCTATTAAATTGGGTGTCCAGCGCCAAGAACATATCAAGAGTTTACGAAAACTCGTTAAAATGCCCTTAAAACCGCTTTTGGTTTGCCGCATGAAAGACGTCATTTCCCTTTCTACATCGCGACAGGCCTCACAACAGTAACGCAGGCCGATGTTTTTCCTTACATCGTCC